CCAGGACCGAAAAATATCTGACCATTTTTTGAAATCCTCTTCAATCTCTTTTCTCAGAATTATATAATTACCATTATATAGAACTTTTACTTCTTAACTAGATGTATTCCTAGGTATTACTTTTTTTGGATGCTATTTTGAAGGATATTGTTTCTCTAATTTCTTTCTCAATGTTCTTGTCATCTGTGTAGAAGGATACAATTGATTTTTGAGTGTTGACTTTGTAACCTGCTACACTACTGAATTTGTTTATTAATTCTAGGAACTTCTTGGTGGAGTTTTTTCAGACTTCCAAATAGAGTATCATATCATCTGCAAATAATGATAGTTTCCACATTGATTTTTTTAATGTGAATGCTGAATTCTGCCCTACCTTTCTCACTAGAGGTGTCCACTGAAGGCTGTACCCCTTTTAGCAGATCTGTCTCTATGTCCTTCTGGGCAACTCCACTAATAGCTTTCTTTCTCTGCCTAGTTTGAGATCTGTGGATTTCTGAGGATCCCCACCCGTTTCAGAGGTCACTCTATCAATACACCCCAGGCTGTGGCATCTGTTTAAACTAAGCCATATCTTTGCTTATCTTGCTAGATAGGAAAAGCAAACAGATTACTGAGTTCTGTGCTTTTGTAGACACCAGGACAGGGGTTCAAGCAGAGTGCTAGACTTAATGGCAGTACAAACCCAACCCTCTCTACTATCCATACACAATGAGCTTCTCACTGTGGAAGGTAGGTTCCCTCATTCTTTCCCAGACTGAACCTAAACTTCTGAAGGAGGTTATGTGTAGCCCATGCCCTCTCTGTGACTCTTGAGGTTAGATCTCATTCAGCCACTGTGCATTGTATTTTTATCATGTCTCTTTCAGCAGACATACACACACACATATATGTAGATGAAGAGACGATAAAGATGCACATTTCATCATAGAAGTATATATATACATATACATATGTGTGTATGAAGTATGATCATAAAATACAGTGTATATTTAAGTTTTTTTAATTATTATATAAAAATACATTATCATTAATCTTTACAAAATACTCCCTTTTGAGTTAAGCATATTTGTCTCATTTCTCCTCCTACTTTCTGGAGCAATTTTGGAAGTTTTCTTTCATAAGCATCTTTAGCTATGCTGTTATGTGCCTCAATATCCTGAATTGATTTACAAATATTTGCCTTTCATGGTTAGTTTGAATTTGAGATAATCCACGAGTCCCATGGTACTAGGTCCAGTGAGTAAGACAGACAAAAAAAAAAATGATGAGACAAGAGTCAAGTGGGAGTATTTTGAGGGAGATTAATGGAAATGTGTATACTTCACTATAATAATTATGCCTTTTTATTAAAACATTCCCTTTATGAATCACACTTCATACATACATACTGTAAAAAATATGGATTTATAGTATCTATCTAATTTCAATCCACAATATATTTTATTGTTGTATATATTATTGCATATATATATAATAATTACCTATAATTACCTATACATTAATTACCTATACATTTCACAGCTGGTCTCTCCAAGTGAACAACATATATACATATTTACAAGTAATGTGCACTTAGAAACACTGATATACTTCAATATAAAATACTATAACGGTAGTAAGATGCCATGTTTAAAAGCATAAGATTTTGAGTCAAACTGAACAGTCCAAACTTTCCACTTGCTCTCTAGGTAACCTAGGATAAACACCCTGAGCCTCCATTTCCTAAGATGTAAAATGACTATAATACCAACACATACTTTATATATATAGTTTGGGGAAGCAAAGAAGTAGAGAGTATTTCAAGAAAGAAAGGAACTTTTGAAGTTTCAACTTTTCTAGAAAAAAGACATAACATTATCTCAGACACCTACTGAGACAGACTTCATCCTATACATGATTGTAGAAAAAGAACAAAAACACTTGCAAATGTAAAAATTCTCATTGGCAAACAAAAGTACTAATTTCAAAAATATCTTTTTAAAACACTCAGTTGAAGATAACTGTTATAAGCAATTACTCAGTCTCTCTAAGCCTCTTGGCACAGTGAAAAGTTGTCAAAATATGTCACCTCACTTAGTAAGTGCCTTGATTGTACAAAAAAATTGCTATGAGAATGAAGAAGGGAGAGAAAATAATCACATTTTAAGGCTTTGTGGAAGGTATCACTGTTGTATGTCTTAAATGGAGTTCTGGAGGATAAGCAAGCATCTACAGGAAAAGATTTAAATTAATCTAGTGGCTTAATCTGAACTCTGTATTGGAACAGGAAACCTAAAGTCCTGAAATGTTTATCTTTGCCTTCTTAACTGTTCTCTCTTCAGACAAATATATTTTCTGGTGCCATATTCATCCAGCTAGCCTTGGGCCTGGACCTTTACCTGGCAATCTTCATCCTCTTGGCAATCACTGCTATTTATACCATCACAGGTGAGTCACTGTGTTTTACTCTGTGATGCTAACTTTTGCTTATCCAGTGGCAGCAACGTGAAATTGGTAACCTTTGCCTTATCCTTATCTTTGATAAGACAAGGATACCATCTATTTCCCACTATGAAAGTCAGATAGAGACTATAGTAAACCAAGCAGAGTCTCAGTAGTTTATGTGAGCATTTGGACTGAGTAAAATAATGTATTGGCTGGAGTGGGGAAAGTAAGCTTTGGCTTAGCTATTTATTTGATATTTAAATTATCATTTTAAATTTTTTATATCACGCACATAGACAATGTGGATAAAGGGGAAATTCAGGATGAAAAAAGTCAAGGTACATCCAAATTGATACCACATTCCAGGATGTGATAATGAACTATGATTGGCACAGTTAAAAGAGCACAACATCAATAGGGTGATTATGGGGAGGTGTGTGGCAGTAGTTCAAGCAGGCTCCCATGAACCAGGGAGACTGGTGGAGTGTCTCCTACATTCTAATTGATGAAAGGTAAACTATATCCTCTTAGCTTTAAGAAATAAAAAAAAATTGGAAAAATTAGGACACTTCTGAAGTTATTTTTTTATGAATTTAGGACAGGGTCTACAGGGTGTGCAGAGTCTCACTATGTACATTGGACTTGTAATGATTCTTTTGTTTTCAGCCTCCCAAGCACTGAGATTACAGGTGCGTGCCATGACACCCAGTCTCAATTGCTGCTTCAGCACACCTCAGGGGCAGGGCTGGCACGGCATGCCAGGGATCCAACTCCAGGCGCTGCACTCTGCTGAAGCAGGTGCTTTGGTCTGCTGAGCTATCTGGCAGGCCCTTAGGAAGTTACTTTCAATATGAACTGTTTCTGATTAAATCAGAAATAAAGTCTCATTGTCATGTTTCCAAATCATTTTTGTTTCCACCTGACCTTGTTATAAAAAATACCACTTCAACTGAGAAGCTCGTGAATCTAGAATAGAAAACATCTTTTCCTTATGTTACTATAAGCACAAGTAAATAACTATTCCACGTATACAACTAATAATACAATTATATGTCACAACAATAGATTAAGAACAGATTTACTAGCTTCTCTTAAAGAGCAGATACACTGTAGCTAATTGGGGGAATAATAAAATTAAGACAAACTTTCATTAAACCAAATTTTGGGTTTTCCCCATATCATATTCAGAAACTCACACAAAACTAGAACTGCACCATAGTAACCAGAAACTTTGAATAAGAACAATACAAAGGAAAAGAAAAATCAGTAAAACATCTAAGTGCTGAGGAGATAATAATGTCAAGACAAGCTGTGACTCAGCCATAAATTAGTGTTGTTTTTAATGTTCTAGCGGTTTATTCTGTAAAACTTCAGATGACAGATATAAAGTAACCATTTTTTTCTATTTTAAAGAAAGTAAAACATAATAAAGTGTATTTAAAATTGTACAGAATTTCAAAACACTGTGATATGAATTCAACAATGGTTGTTGTATTTCATATCATTGTCTTCAAAGTAGTTGTTCAGATTATCAGATCTTATAGGAATCGCCTATGTTTTCAACACTTGTTGAGAATTTTTTTATTCAGATACAACAGATTAGCTTTGGACATACAATGTGTGCGCATATATAGACTCACAACAACCCACATATTTATTCCTCCATTTGGTCTCCTAGCATTTCCACTTTCACAGTAAAAGTTTTAATACAAATCTCACCTTCTGTCTGAATTGCAATGTATGTCATACTTATGCAACTTTATGGACTTCATTAAAATTTCTGGCTCCTGAACAACCAATCAGTCACAGAAATGTCCACTTATATTTTTCTTTCTTTTTCTTTTCTTTTTTGAACCAGGAACCAAGGTCAGGACTAAATGCTCACTAGTAAGCTGCTCTGCTACTGAGCTATATCCCCAGGCCACCAATGTAATTTAATATATGTCTGGATACAATAGCCAGAGTAATTAGAAAAGAGAAAGAAACAAAAGGAATAAAAATAAGCAAGCAGTTAAACTACGGTTATTTCTGGATGACACTGTACACTGCATAGAAGACACCAAAAATTCCACCAAAAGATTTGAAGAATTGATAACCTACTTAGCTGTGGTGCTAAATACAAAGTTAATATGCAAAAATTGATAGCATTCCTGTACACAAGCAATAAACTCACAGAGAGAAATTAGGGAAACCATACTTTTCATAGTAGCATGCCAAAAAATGAAATACCTAGGAATCAATTTAACAAGCAAAGTAGATAGATAGATAGATAGATAGATAGATAGATAGATAGATAGATTGATTGATTGATTGATTTACAGTACTCCAAAAAGGATATTAAAGAGGATATCAGAATATGGAAAGATATAGCATGCTCATGGATATAAAGTACCAACATTTTGAAAATGGCCACACTTCCAAAATTATTATACAAATTAATGCAATCCCAATAAAAATGCCATTAACATATCTCATATAATTAGAGAAAACATTCCTAAAATTCATTTAGAAACAGAAGAGCCCTAGAATATCAAAGGTGGGGGAGGCAGCACAATATCTGACTTCAAGTTATACTACAAAGCTACTGTAATAAATCAGTATGAACTAGAATAAAAAGAAAATAGACAAGACAGGAGGATGACTGGAACAGATTAGAAGATGCAAACAAAAATACAAACAACACTCAGCCACCTTATGTTTGACAAAAGGACTAAATATGTTCTCTGGAAGAAAGATAACATATTCAATAAATGGTGCTGGAAAAACTAGTTTTCCACTTGCCGGAGACTAAATTTTGACCCATGTCTGTCACCAACCACTAAAGTAAAAATTGTTCAAAGCTCTAAATATGAAAACAGAAATACATAATTTACTTGAAGAGAAAATAGGTAGAACTCTTGACATAGTTGTAGGTAGACAGTTCATGAACACATGAACAAAACCTAGACTTCAAGGGAAATACTTTAAAGATTCAAAAACTGGGATAGGTTACAGCATAATTAGCACCACCCAGTCTAGTGAGAACAGGAAATGCACCAGAAATATAAGGGGCTGGCCAACAGGTCATCACTCATATACCTATTCCTGTTCAGGAATGCCTTTGATGTTTAGCATATAAGATAAAGTAAATGGCACCTGACATATACCCTTGCTGTGTGCAATTTGTCACTACTGGATCAATATTAACTAAGTGACTAACATATTATTATCCTGTTGGTTAATTGTAGTTTGATCCATAGCTACTACATTGTGATTTTGCTGTGTAAAATATTCTTGGAGAAAGAATCTCAGTAGAAAACCACTTTCAGGACCACTCATATATCTCTGGACTTTATCTCAATAAATATTTACTAATCAAAAAAAAAAAAACTGGGATGGCATCATACTAAGCAGGTTTTGAGCAGACAAATATAGCACCAGCAAAATGAAAAGAAAATCCACAGAATGAATAAATTTTAGCGAAATGCCCCCCACACAATAGAGTTCTATCTAGAATATATAAAGACTTTTTAAAAAATCAGACCGCTCACAAAATTCAAAGACCCAGTCCAAAAATGAAGGGGCTAGGGAGATGGCTCAGTAGAATAAGTGCTTGCCTGGCAAGCGAAAGGGCCTGAGTTCAATCCTTGGATCAGTGAAAAAGAAATTCAAAAATAAGCATCAGAGATGGACATACACTTCTCAGATGAAGAAATAACGAATGGCAAATAAATATATGGAAAACTGTTCTACATCATTGCTTATTTGAGAAATGCAAATTAAAACAACACTGAGATTGCATCTCACTCCAGAGAGAATGACTATTATCAAAAAATCAACCAATAACAAATATTGGCTGGGCTCTGAGGTGGGACTTTAATACTTGTCCTTCTTTCAGAAGTTTGGCCAACATAAGGAGTCTTGAAATTTTCGAGTAGGGTTTCATTTGAATGAAGGCAAACATTTTCATGGGGGATTTTCACACCTTTTCATGAAGTAGTCAAAGAGAAATCCTAGATCCTTGCTAACTCTGGAGTCAAGGAGTTCTCTGTCCTTTTCAATAATTTTCTCAGAAGCAAATGACTTTTTTGTCCCACCAGCCTGTTGGCCAAAGTGCCCTCTACAAGAGCCTCAAGCATGCGCAGGCATGTACAGGTTTTCTCAACAGAGCTTGCTGCAGCAGAAAACTATCCTGGCTTTCCTAGTCTGAGCCAGAGGCTGACTCCTTCCTTCACTGCTACTGTCCACTGACCTTGTCAGACCAAAAAGCTACAACTCTTGTCACATAGGTCCTGCTTTACCTTGGTCTTAACCATCCAGCAGAAAAGTATAAAAACTAAGTATAAGAAGTAAAGCCATGCTGTTATGTTGAGCTGTAGG